CAATACGTCCGATACATATTGCAAAACAAGACAATACAAATTTGAAGCTATACATTATGAGGATCTGTTAAAAAAATCCAAAAACACTGTGTTGAAAGTTATCAATTTATATTCCAAACAATTTGTTACTCATTTTCTCAACGACAAAACAAATGGAGAGAAAGACGCTGCTAATAAAAAGTTTGTGTCTTAAGTCTTTTGTTTTATGCCTCTTGTTTTGCCAAAATGGTGCAACTAAATAAATTTAAAGATTAACATAAATTTGTTTTAATAATTTAATATGAATATAAACAACCTTTCAGATAACTGGTGTGTATCTATTGACAGCTGTCAAGAAGAAAAAAAATTTAATAAATTAATCAAAAACATTGGTGAATAAAATGTTGGAAATAAACGTGCCATGCCATTTCACAGTATGATAAATGATCAAATGTAAGGATCTTCTTATCAACGTCAAATACAATTTTTACAATTACCTATTTTTTTACACGCTTTGTTACGTGACCAAGTGACATTTGTGGCGGCCAGTGATTCAGAACGTTTTTTCACAATGGCCACCAAAATCTTCGGCCACGAAAAATCCGTTACCACTAAAAATACCAAAGTGTCGATCACCTCAAGCAAGCGCTTCGCCGGGAATGGGTCAAAATACCGCAGAGCAACATTCGAGCAGAGTGTGACGGTTTCATTGGCCGTTGAAGGCCATAATTCGTGCAAAGGCGACCAATTCGAACAAATTTAAACTTATTCTAAAATTTGATACTATTTCCGACATGTTTTGCTTTCATTCAATAGAATTATGGCGTTTGACATTGTTGCAGTTATTTATCTCACCCTGTATATTATGTCTTTGCCCATTTGTTCGAAACAGGCAAAAGAAAAGATATAGACCTAGTGTTCCCTCTGGTGACCTCTATAAAATCGCAATTTAATTGATTTATAAAAGGTGTTTTCCCAAAAGCTTTCAGATTTGAAATTTAAATAAAACATATGCCAGATTATGAAATGGCAAAAAAAAATTATTTGGTAAATAAATTCTTGTCATTTAAAATTTAAATATAATTTCGGACATATGGTCACCACAACCATTTTGCACAAAGGTCATTCTAGAGGTTTAATTTTCGACTTCTTTTTCTATCATTTGAGGACGTATTTCAGCAATAACATCTTGAATATTCTCATCACTTCAAATAATTTTGGTGTAAAATGCCGGATCTTTGTTTAATTTTTTGAACACAGTTTTTGAAAATTAATTTCCACAACTTGGAAGCGTTGTTATGGAGGTAACCTATTCATGATGGCTTGTTAAACAATACTGAGCAGAGACGTCACTATAAAAACGTCACTACATAAAACGTCAACTATAAAAACAGCTGATAGACAACAGAGTAAATTCCAACACATAGTTTTGTAGAACATAAAAATGAAAGCAATAAAGCTAAGGCAGCTAAGTTTTGCAAGGCCGAGCTTTTAATACCCGCCACAATTTTGAAGGAACTTGAAAATTTTCAAAAAACAAATCCATAAAAATACCTTTCAAATAAAACCCAAATTTCAATCACGAGATTTTGGTTAATAATTAATCTAAAATCATCAAAATACTGAATATTGGGGGGTACCGTTATATGGGGACTATATGAAACCATAGCTCAATTATGAACTTAACCTGCCTACTGGCAAATCACACATGTGTGCAAAATTTAACCTTCTATCTCAATTTGTTAGCGGGACTACAAAATACAGGCGGACATAAAGACAGCAAACATCGATAAATCGACATAAAATTTTACGCTGATCAAGAATATATATGCTTTGTTGGATCTGACATGAGTATTTCGAGGAGTTACAAATGGAATGACAAAGTTAATATAACCTCCATAGAATGGTGTAGGGTATAACAACGATATATTTGTGTTCGATCTCTTCATTTTGCCCGTATACGCAAAATAGGTGCACGGAAACGATTTCAAGCAAAACTGAAACTTTTATAGAATTGTACTATATTGCAAGTTCACTGTTCAATAGGCAATCTGGGTTGTGAAAATTTCAATGTGGATTTGATATTACTGGGTTTATAGGCCAAAACCCCAAAAGAGTTTCGGGATAACAAACTTTTTTTATAGGTGTCGCTCATATAAAAATGATCCCGATATTTTGTGATGTATTTTGCAACATTTAATATAGAGCTTTGAAAATGTATAGAGAGCTTTAGACTTTATAATTTATTTATTTACTAGCAAGTGTCCACTACTTCGTATGCGGAATAAGGTATTTATATTAACTGAATTTAACAGTTTACCCCAAATAGAATGTATTAAATAAATGACCACAGTTTATCAATATCAAGTTATAACTTGGATGAATAATTTCCACCTCTCAACCCTAAATCAACCCTAATGCCAAATTTCAAGGACTATCCCACACATAAAAAAATCACCTCCTTATATCAACACTATTTTTCATACTTGATTCTCATATCTAATTTCAAGGTTCTTTCTCTATACGTTTATATAATTCGAAATGGTACTAAATTTAGTGCACTTTAGTACTTCTAGTACACATATTCTTAGAATTTCGAAAAACACTTTAGTTTGTTTATCCTCCGCAACATCAAGGACTCTCACTCCAAAATTCAAATTTCTTGCTCTATTTCTTCCCCAAAGTACCAAAGTTAATACTATTAAGTAATTTCCATAATTTTTAGTAGGTATTTCCAAATTCCCAGCCATATATAAACCAATTCGCACAAAAGGTGATATTAATTCCAAATTTTAGACTTCCAAATTAATCAATAAACCAAATACCAAATTAAGTACAATTCAGTACGTAATACCGAAACCACTTCATATCTCAAACCTACACACGAATATCGACAAACAATTAAAATGTTAGTGCCATTTAATACTTTTCATACATCTACGGTACATATTTCCAATACCACCTGCATATCTCAACATTACACACCAATTCCCAAACACCATAACTCAGAAATTGAACTATCCCTACGATCAATACTAAATTTTGTGCCCTTCTTACCTTTTGCGCTCTTGTAGTACTTATTTTCAAACTTTAGGCTTCCAACTCTACCGGTTTACTCAAAATTTAAATTGTAACAAAATTTAGTACCATTTAGTTTTCATAAGTACGAATTTCCAAAACCACCTACATACCTCAGCCCTACAATGCAATAGTAATTTTAGTTCCAAATTTCAGGATTCCAACTCTATTGGTTCACCCAAATCCAAATTTTACCAAATTTAGTAGCATTTCGTACCGTTCCCGTACAGAAGTAAAAATTTTGAAAATTGCGACCATACCCCAATCCTACACTCTGCCAGTAATGTTAATTCCAAATTTAAGGACTCCAGGTCCACCCGTTCCTCCAAATTCAAATTGTACCAAATATAGTACCGTTGTGTACTTTTCGTATTAATGAGTACACACTTAACTACCTCCTTACATAAACCCTACTACTCAAACTTCATTCCCATTCCAAATTTCAAGTTTTTTTCAAATTATAGTTCGAATTCCCAAAATCCCTTTGGTATATCCATCACTCACTCAATTAACGACCCTTGTTCCAAATTCAAGACTTCTAGCTCTACTGGTTAATCAAATACAAAGGGTATCATATTTAGTACCTTTTAGTACTTTTCGTATCGTTCTAATGCGAATTTCAGGCTTATCTGACCCCTTCGGACCATGAGTGACCCTTACCCAAAATTTAAGATTTTAGCTTCAGCCGTTTTGTCTGGGAGTTGTTGAATCAGTCAGTCAGTCAATTACTTTACACTTTTATTAATATAGATGGGTGACGCTATTTCATGTTCAAACATAGATGTCGCTAGATTTTGTACATGTACGGTACGTATTTTCAAAACCACCTCCATATCTCAACCCTATACACCAATTTTGAGGCCAACACCAAACTACAGAAATCTAACTCTATCCGTACAATTAATACTAAATTGAGGACTTCAGCTTTATAGGTTCACCCAAATCCAATTGTACAAAATTTAATAAAAGTAGTACTAATTTTTGTACTTTTCGTACACTTTACACTGTACCGTTCTAGTACAAATTTCCAAAAACTCAGCCTTATCTGACCCCTTGGGACCAAGGGTCACCCTCAAACCCAAAATTTCAAGATTTTAGCTTCAGCCGTTTTGTCTGGGCGTTGATGAATCAGTCAGTCAGTCAATTAATTTACTCTTTTATAAATATAGTTTTTTTTATTCTATTTTTTTTATTTTATTTATTTATTTATTTATTTGTTTATTTATTTATTTTTATTTTTGCACAGCGTTATTTTTATAAAAATATCCCCGTTTAAAAAATTCAAGCTGACTACTTTTGTTGATTGTCCAAGACCAACCAATTCTGTATGAGTGTGTGGTATTTAAATTAGCAGAGATTTCTCTTCATACAAATATGTGCTGCGAATTTAATGCAAATTCGCAACTGAAACGACGTGAATCTCTTTTGGGACTTTCATACTTTCATAGTCCATTCCCTGAAATTGCATTTATTATAATTTGCATTTTTATAATTGTAATGCACTCCAACACTTATATTCACATGTTTATATAGCATGTAGTTTTTGGAAACGTAGTATGGAATTCAGATTTATTTTGATATTGGGAACCTTTCAAATTAATTTTTATTTTTTCTTATTTTTTATATAATATTTTTTTATTAATTTTTATAATATTTATTATATTGCAACGTTTCCATGACATGACTACTTGTGAGAGAACATATTCTATAATTGTTCTCATCAATTTTGATATTGGATCTTAGTCGTAGCCATGTGTGTTTGCAAGGCATCTAACATGTTATTTTTTTTTGATTATGTCGTTTGAACATTTATTTTGCACAAAATTTACAACGTAATTTTTCCAAAGAGCGATTAAATTTCATCCGAACAAAAGGAAGACAAATAAAATTATAAAATTTATTGGCCACACACTTAAAGCCAGCAACCCTTTTTCAACCTGTCAAACAGGTTGTGTCTATTGTGTGTCTGTCTGGTTGGGCGTTAAATTTTAAATGGAAATTTGGAAATTAGCACATACAACAACAAAAGAAAGGTTTATCTATTTCGTCTACCCTCACACGCTCTGTCGACGTGTTTCACATCTGAAGCAGACGCGGGTGATAATCAATGATTATTGACTTACAAGCCATTCTTCTCCAAAGTTTGTCAACTCTTTGGCGAACAATCCAATCTTTTATGCTAAATGTTGCGTATTCATTCAAACATAATTTATTTTCCCTAACGGAACCCTATATAAAATTGTCAACCGTCCACCGGGGTGTTAGATTCAAGTCACACTTCAAGTCTTTGGGTTTTCATTTAGTTCGAACATGAAGGTGGTCGTGGTCGTTGCCTTGTGCCTCTGCTTGGCCTACAGCAGTGCTTTGCCCATTGAAAATGAGGCTAAAATAACTTTGGATAACGTTGATGCTGTCACTTCTGGAGATTCTGGAACCGAACACGTGCGTCAAGCTCGCCAGTTCTATGGCGGCTATGGTGGATACGGTGGATATGGCGGCTTCGGCGGCTATCCAGGATTGTATGGCGGTGGTTATCCAGGCTACTACGGTGGATATGGAGGTTATCCCTTAGGCGGTTATGGCGGTTTGTCTAGCAGTTATGCTTCGGCAGCTGCTTCCGCCGGCGGCTTTGGAGGTGGTTTATTTGGATAAACAAATCTTAAATGAAAAAAAAATAAACTTAATTTAATTTAACTTATTGAAAGAAAAAAAAAACGAAAAAAGAGAAGTGTATATTTTTCAAAGAAAATTGGTTATAAAACAAAAAAATAATTTTTTGATGAGTCTGCAAATGGTATAAAGTTGCTAAAAAAGAAAGTGTTGGCATAGTTGAAGGCGTATTTTACCATTATAATCGGTTTGCTGATATGATGTTATGTTTGCAAAAACATAAACGTTTTAGGAAAAGTCAACGTTCTCAGACCTTCATAACTGTAGAAGAAAATCCATGAAAAAATAAATTTCTAGTAATGTGTGACAAAATTATTGCTGGTGCGAGTTGTACCTGGTTTGTCGAGCGTCTCTCGTTCTACAGTTGCCGATGATATTGGAGAACGGTATTTACTATGCATTCCTCTATTGTTCAACGCCCAAAGTGAATACAGAATACAGTCTATGAAGATCTTTCCTCACATGCCGAATGTGATATCCGTTGGAATTGCAATTTTTGAATTTTGATAAAAGGATTGTGCTCAATTGCGCCGATTGTTTTTCGAAATATTAGAGATATTCAAAAACAAGTAAGCAACGACTACAGCCGACCATGTCATACCCAACAACACTACAATATGTTGGAAGCCCTTTTATGTCCAAATCCATTTTGGAAGATTTCGCTTTTGAAATTATGTCACGGAGCACTGCTCAGATATTACCCTTAGCATTTTGACCAGGGACATTTGCCCAATATTTACGCACTCCGTCGTGCTGTTAGTTGTTATGATCCATTTTATAGCGAAATATAATCCAATGTTCATCCAAAATTCTAGAATTCTTCAAGATCGGTTAAAATATAGCCAAATGGTTAATATCAACCCAAATCATATGGATTTAGCACATACGAATGAATTCAGCCTGGAAGAAAGTGTGTTAAATTTAATGAAAATCGGTTCACATATGGCTATAGCTTCAATATATATTTTTCATGTGAATTGGTGTTTAGGTCCCCACTTTCGTAATATAAACTTCAAATCAATGATAAATGCTCGCAGATATCAGATACAGCTCAGAAATATATCTGTCAAATTTTATCGAGATCAGTTCAGATTTGGATATAGCTTCCATATATATCTACATCCGATTTCACGATTATTGTGCACCAAATTGTTAATATCAGCCCATATATCTGTGTTCCGATGTGTACAGGGTGAGATAAAAAACTGCAACAAAGTCAAAGGCAATAATATTTTATTTCTTTTTTAATTTTATTGAATGAAGGCAAAAAATGTCGAAAATCAAATTTTAGAATAAGTTAAGATTTCTTCGAATAGGTCACATTTGAATTATGGCCTTCAAACGGCCAATGAAACTGTCGCACGCTGCCCGAATGTTGCTCTGTGGTATTTTGGCCCATTACCAACGAAGCGCTTGCTTGAGGTGATCGACACTTTGGTATTTTTTAGTGCCAACCTTGCTTTTCAAAATACTTCAGACACAATAGTCCAATTTATTGGTGTCCGGAGATTTTGATGGCCATTGTGCGCTGGACATGGAGCCAGGAACCTAATTTTGTAACCATTCTGGAGTGGCGCGTGCTGAGTACTGTTGGAATGTCCAAGTTCTGCGGCCAAAATGTTTGCGTGTCCAAGACTTTAATACACCCTCCAGTGTATTTTTGCGATAACATTCGACATTTATTCTGATGCCACGGTCGACTTTTTGTGTGTTTACAAACACGAGCCACTTTTCGGCCACTGCGACGAACGATGGGCTGTCACTAGGATATTTTTAACAGCTGTCGGATGAGTGGCTTGGAAATGACAGCAGTCTTAAGTTGGTTGCAGTTTTTTATCTCACCCTTTATATCCAAAAGTACAGTTATGTATGAGCTATAGTAAAACGTAGACCTGTATGAAAAATATTCTGCAACTGGAGTTAGAACTCGTTAAAAATTCTACATACCAAATATGGAAAAATTCCGTGGAAAAATTTGGCTGAAATCATCAAAATATCCAATATAGGGAGGTAACGTTATATGGGGGCTAAACGAAAACGTTGACCGATTTGTCTCATTTCAATACCAACCATCTAAGACAGAATTCAAACTATTGTGCCAAATTTCGAAGCACTACGCCACATAATGTGGGCTGTACATTGTTCCTAATAGACAGACGGACATCGCTAAATCGACTTAAAATTCTATGTTTAGTGTATCTCCGACCAACATTTAGAGGTGTTACAAATGGAATGACAAATTTAATATAAAGCCCATTCCATGGTGGAGGGTATACAAAATAAACCAAGAAACAATAAGTAAATACAAGTAAATATTTAAAATTAAAATTCTATTAAATATTTTAACTTAAGATAATAATTAATCCAGGCACTCCTGATTAATTATTATAAGAATATGCTCCATTGCCCTACAAAGAACGTAGGGTATTCCCCCCTTAAAATCGAGAACAAAACTTTCCTCTGCGGCAGTTAACTTATGTATGTTGAAATAGAGATCACCGCCATCACCATATGACGGCAATAAATCTGGTTTAAAATATTGAAAACAAAAACGTTGTGTTTAACAAAGTCCATTTCAAACAGAGTAATTTATTCCGCTAAAACAAATAAAAAATTTATTTAGAAAGGTTAATGTCTTCAGAAATTATGGAAATGCCCACCAATGCCCCAGAAATGTAAACAAGATAGAAATTCATTTATCATAATTTAAAGATACACATCCAAAAAACGACATAATTATTTTAATAAGCGATAGAGTCCATTCAGACCTAAACAGTCATTGAGAATATTCAGAAATTCCCGAGTGAGTAATGTTAGAATGTTTACAAACGTTAAACAAAGTTGAAAAAAAAACACCTAAAAACACATCTTGTTTGAAAATCGCCCAGAGTTGCCATGTTCAAATTATATAACCATCTAATCACATCTTGGCGAAATGCTAATATCTATATTAATAAAAAAGTAAAACAATTTACTATCTGATTGACTGACTGACTCAATGATTCATCAACACTCAGATGAAACGGCTGAAGCTAGAATTTTGAAATGTTGGGTAAGGGGTTACCCTGGTTAGAAGGTGTGTAAGAAAAGTACTACATAGAACTAAATTTGGTACAATTTCGATTTGGGTGAACCGATAGAGGTGAAATGCGGAAATTTGGAAATAAGATTACTATTGGGTTGTAGAACTGTGGTATGGATATAATTTTGGAAACTCGTATTTATGTGTACTAAATGGTACTAAATTTGGTAGAATATTAATTTTGGGAACCGGTAGTGTTAAAATCCTAAAATTATGCGTGCTAAATGATACTTAATTTCGTACAATTCGAATTTGGGTGAACCTATAGAACTGGTATCCTGAAATTTGGAAATAACATATATGGAGGTTAATATAGTATTGAGTGAACGAATACTGCTTGAAACCTGAAATTTGGCATTGTGATCACTGTTAGTGTGTAGGGTTGAGATTTGAAGGTGGTTTTGGAAATACGTACTAAAAAGTTCTAAATTTGGTATTTGGGTAAGGGATTGATATTTGGCATTAAGATAACCTCTTGTGCAATTTGGTTGATACTTGGCGGGGGTTTGTAAATGCGTACTAAAAGTTCGAAATGTACTAAATAGTATTAACATTGCTATCTGAGGAAGGAATAGAGCTGGAAATCTGAAATTTGGGGTGAGAGTAGTTAATGTTGTGTAGGCTAGACAAAATGTGAATATGAAAATCTATTCAATTTGGGCTGATATTACATATATGGTGAGCAATAGCCGTAAGTAAGTAAATCGGATGAAAATGTATATCAAAGCTATATAAAAATCTGAACCAACCTCGATCAAATTTGCAGAGGAATTTTGGAGCAGTATCTGATATCTGGTACCAAAGATTTATGTTGTGGAGTGCATATTACGCATTTTGTAACCATTCTTGGGTGGCGCATGCTGAGTGCGATTGTGCCCAAGGCTTTAATACACCCTCCAGAATATTTTCGGGATAATATTCGGCATTTATTCTGATGCCACTGTCGATTAATACGAGCGGAGAGCGACGATCAGCTGTGATGGCGGCCCACACCATCACCATGGCCTGCGTTTGAGTTCTGGTGGCCAACCGAAGATGCCCACTTTCAGCTGACCTCTTTAGAAGTCAACACGATCATTTTGTTTGTTTACAAACTGCTGGACTCATCGGAGAAAACAAAATTCGACAGTTCATCACTTTCGGCCAAGCAACTTTTTAGGTATTTTGAGTATATTTTCTTCTGTTGCGGTGTAAGTTCTTGCACTTTTTGGAATTTCAATGGCTTTACCCCGAGTTCATTTTTCAGTATTTGCAATTTTTCAGTGACTGCGACGTGGGTTTCGGTCAAGTCGCTTCCTTACTTTTCCATTTCAACCATTTCTGCTGATGTTGCTGTTTTCTTCCGTCCACTTCCTTGACGTTGGACTACGCTATCAGAACGACGGTAACGAGCGATGGCACGAGACACAAAAGATTTATTCACATTCAAATGCTGGAGCGCTCTAACCATAGCCACTTTGGTTTCCCAGCCAAACATAAAGAAATCACACTATCGCGCTTGAATTCCATCACGAATAAAATTTTTTCTGGAAAATTCTCACAAAAATACTTTTGTACGCTTGTAAACAATATAACGAGCTGTCACTGGAATAATTTTAACAACTGTCGGACGAGTGGTTTAGAAATGACAGCAGTCTGAAGTTGGTTGCAGTTTTTTCATCGCACTCTGTGTGGGAGCTATAGCTATATCTGAACCGATTTCCTCCAAATTTGATGTACTTGCTTCTAGACTGAATTGCCAAAAAGAAGTAATGATTTTATTAATCCCAGAGTCTTCCAAAATATATAAAAATAGACTTAAAACCAAGCGATTAGAAACTTTTTAAAAAAATAAATTTCACTGAAATTTAAAAGTACTTTCGTTTGGTTGTGCGGTAATTGTATCAAAAAGCTAAGTATTGTAGTAAATAAGTTTTGCGGCTAACATAAACCACATTTTTCG